ACTAACAAGAGAAAGATCCATTCATTTAAATAAATATTTAACAACAAATGGGCCAGTTCTAAAGGGTTATTCAGTTAATCCCGATCAGAGCCCTAGAGAGAGTTTCTCAATACTCTAATTTCCCCTCCTCGACTCGAGACTTGGTGCCGCCCGCATGAGATGCGAGCGGAGGACTGAGGAGGGTAACCGAGGAGAGAGGAGTGGAAGCAGCAGGCGGTTAAAGAAATGAGAACTCCTCTCCTCTGAGCTGTCATTTTAAAGAGACGTCCATTAATGATGACAGGAGGCACAGCAGCACTCTGATGGACAGATGTGTTCATGACGACTTATATTTACTTTTAATTCATTGACAGTGCGGTATAATGAGACAATAACAGGCTACAGATGCAGACATATACACACACACATATATTTATATAAATATATACAATTTCAGAATCAAACAAGTATGAGAGCACTCTCATAATAACGTAACACAATCAGAGACTGGATATATCCACCCCTCGAAGTACATTTAGAGAAATTAGATGTCCTTCAAAATGGCACGCTGAAATTCATTTCCGGGTCACTACCGGAGGACCGAGGAGTCGAGGAGGGGAAATTTGAGTATTGAGAAACCTCTCTCGTCTCTTTCGCTCGTATCTTACGGAGGTGGAGCTAAGATGCAAGGAAGGGACGCGAGTGAGGGAAAGGAGGAGTCGGGGAGGGGTATTGGGANCGTTTCTTAATGTCAAGTGCCACTATTTCAAGTATTCTACGTAATCGAGTTCCGCCGAAGGACTGTTTAAATGAATGTTAAATGCCCAGCATTCGGCACCGTGCACTCGATGACGTAGCATACTTGAAATAGTGGCTCTGCAGCAGGTATAGGGTCCTTCTCACTTCGGTTAAATGGATTCCTTGCGTCCCTCACTTGCGTCGTTTCCCTGTGACTAGTCCCTCCCACCAGGGAAGCATGGAGAGACACAAGAGCCTCATCCCAATACCCCTCCCCGACTCCTCCTTTCCCTCACTCGCGTCCCTTCCTTGCATCTTAGCTCCGCCTCCGTAAGATGCGAGCGAGAGACACGAGGAGGTGANCTCCTGTGATTAAACGCCATATCATGTTCCAAACCACTTCAAGGATTATTTCTGAAACAGTATGTAGTAAACCCGCAAAAGAATAAGCATTTGAGCTCCATACTGTTTCAGAAATAATCCTTGAAGTGGTTTGGAACATGATATGGCGTTTAATCACAGGAGCATTTAGCTGCATCTGAGCAGAGCTGACAGCCTTCTTGTCGCAGAACTCACATGTGCCTGGTGCTCAAAAGGGGGCGGGGCCAACAGAGAATCAGCCAAACAGGCCTGAAATAGAGGGATATGAGGGATGTGTAAAATCAAATGCATGATCTGTTAGGTGTTTTGAGCAAAACACATCTTAGATGTTTTTTATATATCTTGATAGCC